ACTTTCCGGGCCTCTCGGTCGTCTACGCCAAGGGCAAGCCACCCACCGTGGTGCTTGACGGCCCTGCAGGCAAGTCCGACCCCATCGCCCTTGAAGACTACTCGCGCGACGACCTGCGCGCTCTCTTCACTGACGCTCTCGGCCCGCCCGCCGCCGCGGACAACTCGGCCTAAGGCGCCGAGCCACGCGAGCTCATTGTCTCGCTCCTCTCCACACTTTTTCTTGACCATCTGGCGCAGCCTGTGCGCCCGCCGCCCTCCGCCCCTCCCTTTCCTGGCGCTTTTGCTCGTCGGCATGATCGTCCCCCCCTGCAGCCCGGGCATTCTCCAGCCAGGCCTGCCGCCCTGACGGCGCAAGGCTCAAACGCGACTCTATCGCGCGCCGAGCGCCCGAGCACCCTCTCCCTCGATCATGCCCGCTGTCTCTCCGCCGGAACCCCGGAGCCGTCCCACCGCCCCCCACCCCCGGCGCACCGCATCGCCCACCCTTGGTCATCAGTTTTCCCCATCATCCGCTCCGTCGACCCGACTGCTTTCACCGTTGAACACCACAGCAGCCTCGCCCGCCTCCCCTCCGCCCGAAAGCCGTGTCGGCCACAGGTCGGCCACAGGTCGGCCACGTGGCTGGCGCGCGACTGGCTGTCGTGCCCCAGCTCCGGCGGCTCCAGAGACGTCTGCAGGCAGAGGCAGACCACTGCACGCCACACCTCCTTCCCCCATGTCGTGCACCGCGCCCGGCATCCTCACAGCGTGCATGTGGGTGTACGACCACGTGGCGTGGGCGGTGCCTGCTGCTGAGCACGTTCCCGGCGCCCTGCCCACCGCCCTCGGCGCCTTTGTCTTCTTTGCCGCCCTCAACGTTGCCGTCGGCGCCGTCTCGCGCGCCTGCCTGACCTTTGTGGCCTCGGCGCCGACCAAGGAGCAGGCCAAGTGGAACAACATCGGCACATCGCTGCTGCACTCGCTGCTCATCGGCGTCCTATCCGTCGCCGCCATCGGCGCTGTCGGCGTCCGCTCCGGCGGTGCCATCGACGTGCTGTACAACTCGGATCCGCTCCTCCGCGCCGTCCTCGCCTTCTCCACGGGCTACTTTTGGTATGACACGGCTGACATGGCAATCAACAGGATGTACCTCAACCAGCCCATCGTCTGGTTCCATCATGTCGTTGTCCTCACCCCGTTCACCCTCGCCCTTCTCCTCGACGCCTACGAGCCCATCCTCGTCATGGGCCTCGTTGTCGAGGCCAACACTGCCCTCCAGCACGCTCGCCGTCTCTTCACCATCCTTCACGCCCGCTCCTCGCTCGGCTTTACCGTCACTCTCGCCCTCCTCTACGGCTCGTTCATCCCCATCCGCATCGCCCCGCACGCCGCCATCGCCTACGCCGCTATCTGCGCCACACACGCTGGCGCCTTTGCCATCCCCTGGCACGCCGCCGTCGCCATCCTTGGCTCCATCTTTATCACCATCGTCGACTGCGGCATCTTTGTGGTCATGCTCCGCTCCGACTGGCCCTGGCTCATCGGTCGCGCCCCCCACGCCGCCGCCAGCCTCGAGCCCGTTGGCGTCGATGACCCTGCTGTCACGCACGCCTCCCGCCACAAAGCCGACTAATATCCCCCCCCCCCCCCCCCCCTCCCCGTGCACTCCCGCATGTGACACCAACTGCCGCTGGATCGACACCATCCACGAAATTGCTGCCAGGTCCCCCCCCCCGTCCTCAGCCCGGGGACATTCGGCAACCCCTCTCTCATCCCTCTCCCCCACCCCCCTCTTCTTGCCCACACTATGGCCGACACCAAGCCGCCGGTACGCCTCCCCCACCCTCCTTCCCTCTCCCGTCCCCTCCTCCTCCTCTTCCGTGGTCACTCACCTCCTCCCCCTCGCCGCCCATACCCGTAGCTCTTGCTGTTCTCCGGGTCGTCGAACCCGAAGCTCGCCGAGGCTGTGGCCAAGGCGCTGGACATTTCGCTGGGACGGGTGCTGGTGGACGTCTTCAATGACGGCGAGCGGCGAATCGAGATCCACGACTCGGTCCGTGGCTCCCACTGCTTTATCCTCCAGTCGCCGGCCCGGACCGACGTCAATGACCACCTCATGGAGCTGCTGCTGATGATTCGGACCATGAAGCGGGCGTCTGCTCGCGAGGTCACCGTCGTCATGCCGTACCACCCGTACGCGCGCGCTGACCGCAAGATGCGCTCGCGGACCCCGATCTCGGCGTCGGACACGGCGCTCATCATCGAGGCGTGCGGCGCCGACCGCGTCCTCTCGGTCGACCTGCACTGCGGGCAGATCCAGGGCTTCTACACCATTCCGGTCGACAACCTGTATGCCTCAGGTGTCTTTGCCCGCCACTTTGCCGCCATGGCCGAGTCGTTTGACGCTCCGGTCTGCGTCGTCTCGCCTGACGCCGGCGGTGTCGCCCGCGCCAAGATCTTCATCAATGGCCTCGCTCGCCTCGGCGTCGAGGCCTCGCTGGCCCTGGTTGTCAAGCAGCGCGCGTCTGCTGGTGTCATTGCCGAGACCACGCTCGTCGGATCAGAGAACGTTGCCGGCTCCATTGCTCTTGTCGTTGACGACATGCTCGACACCTGCGGCACCCTCTGCCGCTGCACTGACGAGCTCCTCGCCGCCGGCGCCGTCCGCGTCTACGCCGCTGCCTCTCACGGCCTCTTCTCCAAGGATGCTCTCGACAAGATTGCAAACTCGTCGCTTGTCGAGCTCATCGTCACCGACACCATTCCGCTTCCCGAGGGCGCGCCCGACAAGATCGTCCAGCTCTCCGTCGCCTCGCTCCTGGCCGACGCCATCTCGTGCGTCGCCACGGGCCAGAGTGTCTCCTCGCTCTTCTAGCTTCCTCGCTCCCTTCCCTCTCCCGCTAGTCCGCGCTTCCTCGCGTATTTTGGCTCCTCTCGGCCCCTAACACCTTCCCCTCAGCAAACACCTGGGCCGGCCTCTTGCTACAGCACCCGCACCTGACCCGCACCTGACCCGCACCTGACCCGCAGTTGCTGGCACGGTGGGCGCGCGGGCAAAAAAAAGAAACGTCAGCTAGAGGATTCGAACCTCTGCTCCCATCGGGAACTTGATTTCGAATCAAGCGCCTTAACCGCTCGGCCAAACTGACTGGATATATGAGAGACGGACCAACCTTGAGCCTTTATAGTGTCTACTGGATTGCAGCATCAAAGGAATGACGGAAGACCACGTGCACGACCAAGCCCGACCTCGACAGAGACTGTCGGTTGCTCTGATCGTGGTGGCTGAGGGTAGACACTCCGACTTTGACCACCTCACTCCCCCTCTTACTCCCCGAGTCGAGTGACCATGGCAAGCGGGCTGGCCAAGTATACGCTGCCGACGACAAGCAAGCTCTCGCCGCTGGTGGTGCGGGTGCTCGGGCTCAACCCGGGACCGTTCACCCTCGGCGGGACGAACACCTATGTGGTGGGGAACGGGACGGAACGGGCACTGGTGGACACGGGCGAGGGCAAGGACGGATACCTCGAGGCGCTGAGTCAGGCGCTGGTGGACGAAGGCGTTGAGCGGATCTCGCCCATTCTCCTCACCCATCACCACCACGATCACGTCGGCGGACTGGCGCAGCTCGCGGCGGCCAACTCGAGCCTCTTCGACCTCTCGCGGGTGTACAAGCTCCCGCATGCCGACGACAGCAGCTGGACCCCCGAGGGTGTCGCCGTCCACCCGCTGGCGGACGGTGATGAGTTCGCCGTCGATGGCGCAACGCTGCGGGTTGTCGCCACGCCGGGACACACGCCGGATTCGATTTCGCTCGTCCTTGACGAGGAGGGCGCGGTGCTGACGGGCGACACCGTGCTCGGCTCAGGCTCCACGACGGTCTTTACGGATCTGAGCGGGTACATGGTCTCACTGCGGCGGCTGATGGCGCTGCTACCGGACGAGAGCCCCGCGCGGCTGTATCCGGCCCACGGCCAGGTTGTCGACGATGGCAGGGCGCTCATTGCTGACTACATCCACCACCGCGAGGAGCGCGAAGCCCAGATCCTGCAAGCTGTGCAGACCGCGGGCGAGACCGGCGTCACAACAGCAGATATTGTGGCCTCGCTCTACGCCGGTTACCCCGCCAAAGTCCTCGGCGCTGCCGCCCGCGGCGTCGATCTTCATCTCACCAAGCTTGCTGACGACGGGCTGGTGGCTTGGTCGCCTGGCGGCTTGGCAGTCTCTCTCAAGTAGCCGGTAAAGGCATGCGATGAACTCTCTAGGCGGCGCTGTTCTCGGAATCAGCGCGAACGACTTGCTTGGCACTGAAGTTCGCTGGCCACTGGCACCTGACGCCATTGCAAGAAGCCGGAAGCTCAGGCAGCGCGCGTGGAACAAATCGCCTTGCGGGAGTGACCGCCGAGGCATGGGTATGGAGAGCTTGGGGAGAGTACGACAACGATGGAGAGCGGTCACGAGGTGGCTGGTCGTTGTTGTCGTCGCCGTCGTCGCAGTTGGACGGGTGACCGGTGCTCGGTGTGTCTTTGGTCCGCCGGCCGAGGCCCGCAGCTTGGAAGCTGATCGGTTCCGAGGCAATGCGTTCTTCTTCTTCCAATCGGGCACGTTGACGGAGGTGACGGTCGAGTTTGCCGGCCCGGTGCGGATTGTGGTCATCGAGCGCGAGGCTACAGCGTCAGATGGCGGCAGCTTGGCGGCGACGACTGTGTGGGATGCCGAGGCCGTCGCTGTCGTTACTGATGTTTCGGGCGTGTACGCGGTCGCGCTCGAGGTGGAGGTGGAGGCCGGCAAGATCTACACCATTGGCGCGGCGTGGCGCGGCCATCGTGCGTACACCGTCCACGCTTTTGCCGGCACGCGGTTCCCGGCATGCGCTAGCTGGGAGCACGGCGTCGGTCAGAACAATGTCGCCGTAGGCGGCAAGCTCAACGACCTGGCACCTGCGGCCACGAATGTGTACGCCATCGGATGGACGCTTGAGCCGGCAAGCGGGAGCCCGCTTGCCGCCGGGCCCTGTCCCACCTTCTTTGATCACGTGGCGTGCAGCAACTCGAGCTGCGGCGGAACAGCCGGATGCTCCTGCAGTCCGTCGAGGGGCAGCCTCAATCCGTACGACTGCTCGCCGATTGGAGTCGGAGACCTGCAGTGCGCCTACCATCCGTCGGTCCTTGACTTGGCGGCACTCACGGGCATCATCTACACCAACACGCCCGGATCCACATACGTCAACTCGGTGCGGTGCAGCTGGAGGCTCACAGCGTCGAGCGCAGCGAGCCAGACGACGATCACATTCCACGCCGTCGAGACCGAGGCTGGCGCTGACGTCTTTGAGGTGTACTCGGGCGATGCGCGATACGGGGTGTACTCGGGAACCTCGATCGCCAACTTTGAGATTACCCTTTGCTCTCCGGTCCGCCTGCAGTTTATCGCCGACGAGATCCGGAGCCGACGCGGGGTGGCAGTCTCGTGGGCCATTACGCCTGCACCAAGCCCGTGCGTAGAGACAGGTCCGCGATCGACGCCGTTTGGCGAGGCGCCACCGGCGACCAGTGGCGGGTCCGGCGCTGATGCCGCGAACGGGCGGGGAGCCGTCTCGTCGACGTCGTCGTCGTCCACGCAGCACGTTCCGGTCGCGATTACGGTTTCGGTCCTGATTGTGGTCATAGCCACCGCATGTGTGGTGTTCTATGCCGTATGGCGCCGCTCACATCGGCCGGCCAGGCCGGACGTCGCGCCGCGCGAGCAGGCACGTCTCTCGGCCTGGCGCCGGCGCGCCAGCAGACCGCCGGCGTATGCCTCACCAAGCGCATCTGGCGAGTCTGATGCGAGCGAAGCGCTAGCGCAAGAGTCCGAGATTGACTTAACGAGTGCGACAAGTGGCACCGAGAGCGATCCGCCGCCGTACGACGTGGTCGCGCGCTGGCGGCGTAGCGACTCGGTCTGAGGCAAAGCAGTGTCTAGAATAATTACCGTACAATGGTCCGTCTTTCACATATCCAGTCAGTTTGGCCGAGCGGTTAAGGCGCTTGATTCGAAATCAAGTTCCCGATGGGAGCAGAGGTTCGAATCCTCTAGCTGACGTTTCCTTTTTTTTTGCCCGCGCGCCCACCCTCATCCTTTCATAACACCCTCTCTCATCGCTGTCCTCCTTCTCTTCATCGAGCTCATGACCCCCCCCCTCCTCCCTCTCGTTCTCACCCTCCTAAGGGAGCGCTCTACCACATAGGGCGCATGAACCTGTCTCGGAACCACATGATTCGATTCGAAGACGCGAAAGCGCCGCACCCTCGCTGTCACATGCAGCTTCAATCAACGACCATGACTCCGGTGTTGGGTGCGATTTTCGGACGAAGAAAGAGAGCGACCAGTTTTTCGTGCACCTCCAGGCGGCGACGACACGGCAGCAGCACAACGCGCAGCTGCGCCACACTTGACCTCGAAGCCACGAGTACGCCCTCTCTCCCCTTCCCCACGCCCCCTCCTCTCTCTCCCCCCCTCCCCTCTCCCCCCTCCCTCCTCCCAGCTGCGCTCGCCCTCGACCGCGCCCCTCCCCCTGTGTTTGACCGTCTGTCTGATGGCGGTGCGCGTGACCTGTGACCGCTGACTGCCGCCGTACGACCTGCAGCCTCCCCCCCCCCCTCCCCTCCGCCCCCCCTCCCCATCCCGCCTCTTCGCGCATACTAACCGCTCCTCTCCTCTCCCTCAGTGTCCAACAACGACTTCTTTGGCTCGATCAACTCGGACGGGCTGACCGAGCGGTCGCCGCTGGTCCGGCCGGCACAGGCGGGCGGTAGCAACGCCAAGGTCGATCCGTACTCATCGCTCTTCCCGGCGAGTGATGAGGTTGCGGCGCAGGGGCTCTCATCGATGGAGGCGCAGGTTCGGCTGGAGCGTGTTGGGCCGAACGCGCTGGAAGAGAACGAGAAGCCGTGGTGGAAGCTCCTGCTCTCGTTCTACATTGGCCCGATGGCGTATCTCATCGAGCTTGCGGTGGTGGTCACGCTGGCGCTGCGCGACTGGGCCGACTTTGGCGTCCTCTTTGGCCTGCTCAACATCAATGCAGGCATTGGGTTCTACGAGGCGAACAAGGCTGGCAACGCGGTGGCGGCGCTCAAGTCTGCGCTCACGCCTGTGGCCATGGTCAAGCGCGACGGCGAGTGGACAGAAATTGACAAGGCCAACCTTGTGCCTGGCGACCTCATCCGGCTCCGGATGGGCGACGTGGTGCCTGCCGACTGCATCCTGCTTCCGCTGGCCAACGCGACAGACGTGCTGGAGATTGACCAGGCGGCGCTGACGGGCGAGTCGATTCCGGCCAAGAAGGCCTCGGGCGACCTGTGCTACGCGGGATCGTCGGTCAAGCGCGGTGATGGCGACGCATGGGTCAAGGCGACCGGCAAGCAGTCGTTCTTTGGCAAGTCTGCGGCGCTGATTGCAGGCGTGGAGGCCAAGTCTCACTTTGAGCAGGTGCTCGAGTCGATCACCAAGGTCCTCATTGCGGTGGCATTTGTCCTGGTCACGGCGCTCATTGTGGCGCGGGTCATCCAGCAGTCGACTGCCAAGGGCAAGGACCTCAACGGCAAGTTTATGGGTAACCTGACCAAGCAGGCCCTGGTTCTGCTTGTGGCGTCGATTCCGATTGCGCTGCCTGCAGTGTCGACAGGAACGATGGCCATTGGCGCAAGGACGCTGTCCAAGGAGAACGTCATTGTCTCGCGGCTGTCGGCCATCGAGGAGATGGCTGCAGTCGACATTCTGTGCTCGGACAAGACAGGGACGCTGACCAAGAACGAGCTGACGCTCGACGACCCGTGGCTCAACCCGATCCACCCGGAGCTGACGCGGGCGGACATTGTGCTGGCGTCTGCGCTCGGGTGCGACCCGGACCCTGCGAATGCCAAGGATGCCATCGACTCGTGCATTCTGGAGTCTGCGGCGCGCGAGCTCGACGCAGGTTTCCTCTCTGCGCACCACGTGCTCTCGCACGAGGCGTTCAACCCGGTGACCAAGCGGACAATGGGCGAGGTGGAGGACCCCAACGGGCGGCGGTTCCGGGTGTGCAAGGGCGCGCCGCAGGTCCTGTTCAACCTCACCAACGAGGACGGCTCGACCACCTTTGACGCTGGCGACCGCGGGCGGGTCAACCAGGCCATGGAGGAGCTTGCCGAGCGCGGGCTGCGGCCGGTGGGCGTGGCATGGGAGGTTGACGGAACATGGCAGTACCTCGGCCTGCTCTCGTTCCTCGACCCGCCGCGCGACGACACCAAGACCACCATCGAGCAGGCCAACGAGCTCGGCGTCGAGGTCCGGATGATCACCGGCGACCACGTGGCCATTGCCAAGGAGACGTGCCGGCGGCTGGGCATGGGCTCGGACATCCAGGGCTCCGAGTTCTTCCGCCGCATGCACGAGGAGACCGACGAGTACATTGCGCAGGTGATCGAGGAGGCCGACGGCTTTGGCGAGGTCCTTCCCGAGGACAAGTACGCCGTGGTGGACATTCTCATGCAGAACGGGCACGTGTGCGGCATGACTGGTGACGGCGTCAACGACGCGCCGGCGCTCAAGCGGGCTGACGTCGGCATTGCCGTCGAGGGCTGCACCTCGGCGGCACGGGCCGCCTCCGACTTTGTCATCCTCTCGCCGGGCCTCTCGGTCATCATTCTGGCCATCAATCTGTCGCGGACCATTTTCTCGCGCATGCGCAACTATGTCATCTACCGGGTTGCCTCTTCGCTGTACGTCCTCATGTTTGTCTTCCTCGCCGTTGTCGTGTACAACGTCGAGATCCCGGCGCTCGTCCTCGTCCTCATCACGCTCCTCAATGACGGAACTATTATGACTATTGCTTACGACAATGTGCCCATTTCGCCGCGCCCGGTCGAGTGGCGGCTGGTCCGCGTCGTCATCATTGCCATTGTGCTCGGCGTGCTCGGCGTGGCCGAGTCGTCGGCCGCGGTCTTCCTCTCGCACACCCACGGCTACGGGTTCAACCTCGGCCGCAAGATTGACGTGCCGACCTCCAACGGCGCTACGATGCAGATTAACGACAAGACGTACGAGGACAACCAGCGGTCGACGGTCGCGTACCTCGCCCTCTCGCTCGGTGGCCAGCTCTCCATCTTTATCGCTCGCACCCCGTCGTTCTTCTTCACCCGGGCGCCGGCGGCTCTCCTTGCCGGCGCCGTGGCCTTTGCCGCCCTCGCCGCCTCGCTCCTCGCTCGGTACTGGCCGTTTGGCCAGGACCTGGAGGGCATCTCGTGGTCGGACATTGGCGCCGTCTGGGTCATCATTCTTGTTATGGTTGTCGTCAAGGACATTGCTAAGGTCATCGTCTACAAGATCCTTGACTCTGCCGAGGCCCGCCTCGGCTCGTCGTCGACCGAGTCGCGGCTCGAGGACCGGGTTATGGCCTTTGCCACCGTCGATCGCGATGCCGTCCGCCCTGACCTCCGCTTCTTTGCCCTTCCCATCTCGGATCGCATTGCTCCGCTCCCGTACTCGACGATTTAAAGCCACTACACTTGGCAGCCCTCTGCGCATCGTCGCGCAAGCCACGTTGTGGCCCGGCGGCTGGGCGAGTGGCATCCATCCATATTGCCCGAGCCAGGAGGAAGGGGGAGGGGGTGGGGGCGGGGCGGGGGCGCAAGAAGCAAGACGTGACGCCGGACATGGACAAGGTGGAAGAAAGTAAGGTGAGCAGCAGCAGCAGCCGTGCCGAGGGCGGCGAGTCTGACTCTGACTCGGAGCCGGGCTTCTATGACCCGCTCGCCGATGCCACTGTCAGCAGGCACTCGTTCCCGCTTGGCGACGGCGGCGGTGCGGCCGACGGGGACGGCTCGACCGTCACCATCGAGCTCCGTGCATCAGCCAAGTTGGATCCGACAGACGCCTTTGCGCTGCTGGATGGCGATGACTACACCGGCCAGCTGCTGTGGGACGGATCGGTGTTGCTGAGCAAGTATCTGGCGGAGCACGGCGACGAGCTGCGGGCTGGTTCGACGGCGATGGGCAGGTCGCGGGCGGTGGTCGAGTTGGGCGCTGGTGCAGGGCTCGCGGCGGCGGTGGCTGGCGCGCTGGAGCTCGGCGAGCCGGTCATTCCCACCGACGGAGCCGATCGGGCGCTCGAGCTCTGCTCGCGGAACCTCGCCGAGTTTGGTTGGCGCGGCGTCGCTGCGCCGGTCTGCTTCAACTGGTCGAGCGAGCTTCCGGACGAGCTTGCGGCGGTGGCGCCGGTCCATCTTGTTGTTGCCGCTGACGCGGCATACGATCTGGCGGCTATCCGCCCGCTCTTTGCTGCCGTGGGCGCGCTCGCGCCGGCCATCTTTGTCTACGCTCACTACCCGCGTGCGCTCACCGCCGCGCAGCAGGCCGCCATTGATGAGGCCATTCCTCTTGCCGCCGCTGATGTCGGCTACGAGGGCGGCGTGGTGTACTCGAGCGATGACGGTGGGTCAGTCATGGTGTGGCGGCCTGTGTAAAATATGTCATTGAGTTGAAGCGGCGAGCCATCTCTCTCGTGCGCAGCGGGCGCGCATCGCATTTTTCTTCATTTCGCCGACGAGCAGAGACTCAGCGGGAGCATAGCGGACGGCTGTAGCGCGACGATGCTGGAGGCGATGCAGCGGCTGCGGCGAGAGGGAAGGCTGATTGATGCCGAGGTGGTGGCGATGCCATCAGGAGAGGCGATCCCGGCCCACGCGGTCGTCCTTGCCACCTCGCTGCCGGTAGCCGAAGCCTTGTTCGATCTGCAGCACGAGGTGGAGCGAGTCGGCGACACTGGCGTGCGCAATCGGCTGGAGCTGGATGGGCCGCCCGAGGCCATTGCGCTTCTTGTTGATGCCATCTACGCGGGCAGCGCCTTTCCGCCGCATGTGCTGCCCGAAGCGGCGGTGACGGGAACGGCGCCCGGCGGCGGCGGAGCGGTGCTGGCGGCGGCACGTGCGGCGGCATGTGGCGGGGCGGACGACGTGGCAGCAGCGCTAGCGCAGGCCTTTGCCGACCTCGCGCTCGGTGAGCTCAGTAGCGATGGCGATCGGGCGGTCCTCTGTCTGGCACAGGAGCTGGTCGATGCGCCGAATGCGGCGCTGGCGCACATCCCTGCAGCACGGGCGCTGCTCCCGCGTCTGCTGAGCGACGCGGCGTACCGGTTTGGCGACCTTGCCGCCGACGAGCTCGCGGCGTGCCCGCTCCCGCTCCTCCGGCTCCTCTTTGCCCACGACGGGCTCCGTGTGGGGAGCGAGGCTGAGGTCCTTGCCGCCGTCCGCGGCGTGGTTGCCGCTCTGGCGAGCGACGAGGCCGACACGGCTACGGCGGCTGCTACGCTGCTTCCGACGCTCCGCACGGCGCTGCTTCCGGCGGACGCACTGACGGCGGAGGAGGTCGCGGTGCTAGCGGGCTGTGGGGGCGGGAGCAGCGTCGAGCGGCCGCGGCATCATGCGGTGCGGTCATCGGCGGCGGGGGCGGCGCGGGCACTGGTGGCCGGCGGCGACGGCCCAAGCGGCGGCGAGCTGAGCGTGGGCAAGATCTTCTCTGGCGTGTCGGACGACGGGCTAGCGTCCAAGGCCATCCCGCTTGTGATGGCTGCCGATGGCGGGCTGGTCTACCTCGGGCTGTACGATGGCGGGGTGGTGGCGGTGAGCCTGGCGGGTGACGGGCGGATGGGCCGGGTGGTGCCCGTGGTGAGCGTGCCATCGCCACGGCGGGTCACCGCGCTCTGCACCCTCGCATCGGACGTGGTGGTGGCCGCGACCGCGAGATCACTGACCGGGCGGTTCAAGTCGCGCGGAAGCAGCGGCGGCCAGTCATCGGGTGTGACGGCAATCGCGCGGGTGGCGCACTTTGACGGGACCGAGGAGTTTACGCCACTGGCCGCCGACGGCTTCCCGGCCGACGTTCACCACCTGGTTGCAGTGCATAAGGAGCATATACTTGTGGGCGTCGGCCCAGATCCACAGACCATCTTTGCGGCGCACGCGGTGTCGCGCGATGGCGGGCGGCGGGTGACGGCGATGGCGGCGTGCGGCGTGTGCGTGCCGGTGGCAGGCCTGGCAGTGTGCAGCGAGGAAGTTGTTGCTGCGGCGGTGGGAGCGCAAGTGGTCTTTCTGGGCATTCCACGCGAGCCCAGCAGCGCCGAACTGACGGTGATGGCGGTGTGTGATCTGCCGCGGGAGACGCCCGCGATCTCGGCCATCGGACGGCTCGGTCGGCCGCAGAGCGAGCTTGCGGTCGTTGTCGGCTGCCTCGACGGATCGCTGTGGATTGTGCGAGCCGAGCCGGAGCGGGCACCCGAGCTTGTTGCCGGAGCGGGTGGGCGGATCTCGCGCATTGCATGCAGCGAGGCCGATGATGGCTTCCTTGCTGCGACGTACACCGGCGAGCTTGCGGCATACACCACCTCCAGCGAGGACAACGCGCTCGAGGGCGCACGGATGTGCGAGGCGGCGATCGCCGATGTTGTACTCGTCGGCGAGACACTGGTCATTCTCCAAGGCGTCGGTAACGACTGTGCTCTGCTGACCCTCACACCGCATTGTTCGTGAACAATGAAATATATGTCTTCGCTGGTTGCAGTCACACGGGCTGTCGCCGTCACCCGCACCTGGCACGGGCCGAGGGTGACGCCAGCACCGCGTCACCGCGGCTGACAGAATTGACAAAAAGCGTGTGTCTTTGACCGTGGTTTGCGAGGGAGCTCTTCTCACACATCTTCCTCGGCACTCTTGCGGACAAGAAAGACCACTAATTACATAGCTCTACTACTAACAATGTCTGCTGCTGCTGCCCTCATGGGCGTGCTTGCCTCGCTTGTGGCTGCCGCGTTTCTCGCTGGTTGCCTTGCTGCGGTACGGAGCGAAAAAAGGATAGCATTGACCGGTGGCGATGGCAGTGATGCATGGCGATGACTCATGGCGAGAGAATGGGCGGATGTGTGGAGGACAGCCTGTGCAGCATGTTGTGACAAAGAACTCGTCTGGCGGAGAGACCATTACCAACTATCGATGGGAAAAGGTGGTAACCAAGGGCTCGTCATCGTCTGTGACGCGCAAGTATAACAAGGACGCCGACAAGGCGGTGATCAAGGTGATGAGCGCTGGGCTCTCTTTTGCCGTCTTCTCGTTTGTGGGTGCGGTGGTGTCGATTGTAGCGACGCTCATCTACGGCGTGGGCATGGCCAAGGTGCCTGTTGGCGGAGCGCTGATGAAGATCATCATTGTGATCGCGGGCCTCGCGACGGTAATCTGCGGGCTTGTCTCGGTCATGACCATCGGCTTCTCGCTCCCCGATGCGCACAAGGAGGACTGCGAGCGGCGACTGCTGAGCTCGTGCGACAGCGAGTTCTACAAGAAGTTCCACGGCGAGGAGAACAACAGCAAGTGGCGCGGCGGCGATGGCTACATCCTTGGATGTGTAGCCATGCCGTTTGCGCTCCTCATCGTCGCCTTTCCTTTCATGTATGATCCGTAGCTACGGTCGCTGTGGCCATGGCTGTGGCGTTTGTAAAGCCCTGACAGTGCAGGCCAGATATCGTGGGTGATGTTGGAGGAGTGGTAGAGGAAGGGCTGGTTATGACGCCGATGTGGGGGTGGGTGGCCGCGATCTGGCGCTAGAGAGCCGTGTATGATGGCGGCGAGTTGGCGGCGAGGTAGCAGCCGACAAGGATCTGGGCTGGAGAGAGCGATAGCCATGACGTCAGAGTGCGGCGAGAGAGTAGGAGGGGTAATCAAGGGAGTGTGGGTGACGACGGTGGCTGTGGATGTGGGTGGGTGGCCGCCATCTGCCGCCCGACCGCAGTAACTGCACGGACCGACGCCCTCGCGCGTTTGCCGACGTGGCGCCTCAGCAACAACCGGATGAGCCACCATGCCACCGAGGCAGAGAGAGAGAGAGAGGGAGTGGGAGGTAGGGCCAAGGGCAGAGGCCACACCGTCACATACTCCACCACATATACTCAATACGAACATGCTGGGTCTTGACTATGGGGAGTACTATGCAGAGCTGTACGTGGTGCACCCAAGTGTGTGGGGGGGGGTGGGATGGGTACTCATAGGTATGGGTGTCATGGATGGATGGTGGTGATGGTGATGGCTGTTGTGGGCGTCAACTCGGTTATGGTCATCGCCATGGCTGATGGTGGGCGTCAACTCGGTTATGGTCGTCGTCTTGGCTGATGGTGGGGCGTGGTCACGGTCGTCCTCATGATCGTCGTCATCATGCTGCTGATCATCATCATACTACCTGTCATCATGGCTCATGGCTCATGGCTCATGGCTCATGGCTCCTTGCTGATGGCTGATGGCTGATGGCTAATGGCGATTGGCAAACAACTACAGGAGCGATTACGGCGTGTCGCTCGCGGTGTGCATCGGCATCACCGTGGTCCGGCTCGTGATTGGCAAGGCCGTGTTCACGCCGGCGGCAGAATACGTGTGGGGGGTGAAGGACAAGGTGTCGCAGGCCAAGTTCTGCGACGCCGCCTTCAAGCTGCTGATCTGGTCGGCATGCGTGTGCATCGGCCTCATCACCTGCTGGGACAAGCCGTGGTTCCTCGACTCGATCCGGTTCTGGGACTACTACCCGACGCCGATGACCTTTGACGTCCGCGCATACTACCTCTTTGAGCTCGGGTGGTACTTTCACCAAATGCTCTTCCTCATTGTCTTCGAGTCAGATACCGGCAAGAAGCGGTCAGACGCCATTCCCATGCTTATCCACCACCTGGCCACCATCGGCCTCATCTCGTTCTCCTACCTCAACGGCTTCTCGCCCGTCGGCTGCATGATCATGCTAGTCCACGACATTGTCGACGTCCCGCTCGAGGCTGCCCTCCTCACCAAGGAAATGGGCTACGACACCCTCACCGACATCCTCTTTGTCAACTTTCCTCTTCTGGCTCATCTTCCGCCTCGGCATCTTCCCCTTCCACCTCGTCCGCTCGGTCGTCTACGAGCTCGTCGTCCACTCGCCGCAAATAGAGGGCCACCCGGATGCCGGCAAGCTCACCTCCATCTTCCAGCTCTACTCCTCGTACCCCATCCAGATGCCCATGTGCCGTGAGCTCTCGGCCCTCCTCTTTGTCCTCGTCATCCTCCACATCTACTGGTGGATCCTCATCGCTCGCATGATCAAGAAGTACGTCGTCGATGGCCACGTCAAGGGCGACATCCGTGACGAGGACGCGGCCAAGAAGACCGACTAAACCCAAACGCCACACACACACACACACACACACACACACACACACACGCACGCACATATTCGTCCATTGCCTCTGACAAACCCGACTGTCTGACGCCCATCTGCGCCATCAACGAATCTAGCGTTTGTTCGTTGTCCCCCCCCCCCCCCCTCTCAACTATTAATCAACAAAGCCAACGTGGCTTTGTTCGTTGCCTCTTTCCCGCTCATACGCACCTCGCTCGGCCCGCGTCGAGGACTGCGAACGTTCACGGGCAGCTACTTCGCCAAGGTGCAAGCGTTGTGACAAGCCAAGTCGCCACCTCTCAAGTCCTTGTTTTCCTCTATCTTGTCATACCCATGGCAGGCAGCGAGTCTTCGTCAGACTCGGGCTTTGCCCTTGCCTATGCCGTGATGACCCGGCCAGACGCCGCCGTCTCTCCCGCCGCCGCCGCCACCGCCGCCCGTGCCCGCTCGCGGCCATCGCGGCAAGCCGGTCCACTCCCGACCAACTCGAGCCCTGCACGGACGCGATCATCTGGAGTCATGACCAGAGTTGGAGGACAGTCATCGTCGACTGGCCGCACATCGACCAGCCAATCCACCTCTCGTGCGGGTAAGCAGGGCGGCAAGCAGCTCCAGCTCCAGCTCCAGCCGCAGCTCCAACGGAGCGTCATGTCCGAGTCCAAGGTACGGAAGCAAGTGGCATCGCCGGCAGTCGCCATGTTGAGAGGCAGCTCACTGGTCAAGAGCAACTCGATGGGCATGCCGATGGATCAGATTAGAAGGCTGGAGGAGCGGAGAGAGGCCAGGAGGAAGAGCTCCATGCCAAGCACCGCTTTGGCCGCCGCTGCTGCCGGTGCGGCCGCACACTCCACCTCATCCTCGCCGCCTGTCAACCATGTTATTCCTTCCATCACCGCCACCTCGTCGACAACGTCGATGGTGATCCATCCGGCGGCCGATGGCTCCCTCCCGCACGCCACGCGCTCCGACGTGGCCATCTCGCCGGTCATGGCTGCGCTCCGTGGCAATCAACTTGCCAAGAGCAACTCAATGGGCATGCCTCAGACGCGGACAAGCAAGGCTGCGCCTGCTGCGCCTGCGCCCAAGTCGATCAAAGACGCAGGTGGCGGGAAGGACGCTGCCGACGACGATGATGATGACTTTAGCGGCTCGGGATGGAGCTCGGGCGATTCGAAGCGAATGCCGCCGATTGATGGCGGTGCCAGCGCAGGGGGGCTCACATCCAAGGCACATACCAGCTCTGTGGAAGGGGGGCAGTGGCTCGGAGCCAAGCCGGCGCGGAAGCGACATCGGCGGCGGAGCTTTGACAAGTGCAGCAACAACGGATCCAACGAGAAGCGGCGGCAGAGGAGAAGGAGGAGGAGCTCAAACGAGAGCACTACCAAAAGTGCGAGGCGCCAGGCTCGCCGACAGCGGACGCGGCGGGAATCGGCGTCGAGTGATTGGAGTGACTCCAGCTGGAACTCGGCTCAGGCTGACCAAGCCGAGCTCGAGTGGAGCGACGGTGAGGCACCGGAATGGAGCGGCATTGCTGAAGGGCTCGCAGCTTGGGTCGCGAACAATGCGCCTGTGCGCGTGGACGAGCTCGGGGATCACGGACTCGACGACGTGTTTTCGTCATCAGAGGAGTCGTCGTGCGAGGCCGAGCTCGCGCTCTCTGTCCGTGCTGCTGAGAAGCGGGTTCGGTTTGCCATCGGCAAGCCGAGAGTCCACACGTACGTCTCATACGCCAAAGCTGTGACGCGAGCAACTGCCGATGACGACGACGACCTACGGTCTGCGCTGGCCATCATTGGGCTGGCGTCAATTGCCGAAGAACCGGATCACGTGGTGCCTGTCCAGCCAAAGCCACGGGCGGCACCACTGCTGGTGGATGTCATGTTTGGCAACGGGCGGGGGAGCAAGTTGCCACGGACCGGCTCGGAATCTTCAGAACTCGACTCCTCGGCATCGTCGTCATGTCTCGACTCTTCGCGCGGCGAGCTGGACGAGGTGGCCGCGGCGTGGAGAGCGATCGAGGAAAAGCAGGCTGCCCGGCCGGGACGCGACCCGACCATCATCGGAGTCCAGCCCAAGGTGGAAGGCCCATGGACGCGAATTCGAGTCTCGACCGCCATCCAGGCATTTGCGTCAGCCATCGAGTCTGGCGAGCTGGTGGAGGCCGAGGGTCGGACCCGCGAGCCTGCGGCGCGCGGATGGTTCAAGCGAATGGTTGGCCCGCCACGGCTGGCCTCAGCACAACTCGAGGCACAGCAGCACGCGGTGCTGGTGGTGGGCAAGGTCAAGCTCGACGACCGCTTCCTCCTCCACATCCAGATTCTCAACTCGGTCTACCGCGAGTTTGTGGGTGGTGCCATCGAGCCCACCCGGTTCGGCTCGCACTGGGAGCTGCTCGGTTTCCAGGGCCGCGATCCGGCCACAGACCTACGCGGAGTGGGCATGCTCGGCCTGGTCAACCTCCTTGCCCTCGCGCAAGAGTATCCGGTCGTGGCGCGAGCGGCGTACGAGGCTGCCCTGGATCCCAACCACGACTACCCGATGGTCCTTGTCGGTTTTCGCCTGTCGTCGGCCTGCCTCCGCCTGCTGCGGGGTCACAAGCTCAACAAGACAGCTAACGGTCTGGGCTCGGTCTGGGCCGCCTTCCACTCGATGTATGCCGCGAGCTGGGCTGCGTTTGTGAGCACGTGGCGGAGCGGCCGACACACCATTGTGGAGTATGACGCTGTGATGCGCGCGCTTGAGGCCAAGCTTGCCAAGTCGGTGCCCAAGGCGCTGCGCGAGCTGAGTGCTTTCGAGGCGCGCAAGCGCAATGATGCCGGTGGGCTGGTCGGCGGCGATGACCTCGAGCTGACGCAGTTTGGGTAGGAGTGACACGAGCAAGAAGGAAAGCACAGTGTTACTTGAAGGCAGAAAGGGAGAAAAGGGGGGGGGGGGAGGGTAGAGAGCGAGCGTCACGGCAGCGGGGTAACCGAGCGGCGGGCGCGGTCGTAGTGGGCATCGCGGTGACACAAGCGCGGCGACGACGTCGGACTCTGGTCCATGGGAACGACGAATTCCGAGTCGAGGTCTGCATCCGGGAGCGCAAGGTCCATGGAGGCAAGAGTGAGGTCACCAGAGCCTCGGTCGCCAGGCGAGTTGAGCGTCTCGTGCATGGCGGCCTCCATAGCCGAGGCGGCCATTGCAGCGGCCGAGGGCGGGGCGGAGGCATCCTGGGTGACTGACATGACCAGGGCGGTGCAGAGCTCGTAGAGGGCCCAGTAGTCGCGGCGGCGAGCAAAGAGGCCCGGGCGCTGGGTGGCGGCCTCGTGGGCAAGGATGGGCAGGCCGAGGAGCGGGCCGGTCTCCGGGACCGCGAGCTCCTCGAGAGCGTCCGAGAGCACGGCATGGGCGACGGCAAAGACGCCAGCAGCGCCGGTTCCGCACGAGTCGTGGATGAGGAGCGGACGGTAGCGGCGCTTATAGGCGACGTGGACATCGTGGGTAAACTCGATCAGCGAGCGGAGCGGGAGCGGAGCGGCGTGATGCGGCCATGCGGCGTATTGCAGGTGGACGACACGGCGCTTCTGGGCCTCGAGCATGTGGCGGACCCGGAGCTCAGTGCGGATGCCGTACGAGCCGAGGGCCTCGATCGACTTGGCCTCGACCTCGAAATGGCCGACAACAAGGACCTGGCCCACATCCATGGGCCAGTACGGGAAGCAGAGCTCGGAAGAGCCGGCAGCCTCCTCCAGCGACTCGGGCGTGAGCGCGCCGGGCGCCGGGCCGCGTAGCCGGGTGAGAGCCACCACGACCGAGGTGTGCTCGGCCCAGACCATGCGCCAAAAGGCAAAGACACCGGCCTCGGTCGGACCCTGGGCCACAATGTAGTGGCGCTTGCACGCGCCGAGGCGGACGTGGGAGGCGTGGACAAACTGTGAGGTGCGGAGGCGGAGCCGCGAGCCGAGCGAGGTCGAGACCGACGTCCACGGCACGGCAGCAGGCGGCGGACCGGCAGCGGCGACGAGCGCCCCGTTCTTGCCGAGCTCGAGCGTCTGGCCGGCCATCGACGACGGCACCTTGCGCCAGCCTGCCGGAGCAACACGCGGCGTCGACGCCGCTGCCTCGGCAACAGCCGCAGAGAGGGCTTCGGAGAGCGGCGGAGAGCGGGGCGGCTCGTCGTCCTCATCTTCCTCATCCTCCTCGTCAGAGACCGAGCCTGCGAGCGGCGGGAGGACGACGGCAGTGTCGAGACGGAGCGGCGGGGCGGGCGAGCGGAGCGGGAGCCTGGCGTGGTGGGGCGTACCCGAGGTACGCGAGATGGCAGCTGAGTGTCCCTCGTCCTCCTTCTCGTCGTCGTCATCCCAGAGCGCAAGCTGGACGGCAGCGAGCGAGGCCGAGATGGCGGCAGTGAGCTTGTCGTGCTCCGACTTGAGAGCGCGCGGGTGGGCGAGGAGCGAGTTGGTCCTCAGCGCTAGGCCGGCGGCCTGAGCATGAACCGAGCCACGACGAGCCCAGCGTGCGGTCGAGTACAGCTGCGCAAGCGGAGCGGTATCAAGCGGCGACGAGAGCGCCCGCCGTCGCGACGAGCGGTCTCTCTCTGCCACGCGCGCAGCGAGAGAGACAAAGTGCGAGTGCGTAGCCAGATCAGGACGAGTGCCAGGCAGTGAAGAGTGGCGCGCAGAAGTAAGCGAAGCGGCCGAGTCTGCAGGGCTAGCCGAGGGAGGACCGAGGTCAGCAGAAGGGGCCAAATGAGCATTGCCACCCAAGTGATGACTGTTGATAGTAGAAGAGGGTGAAGACGATGATTGGATTGCGGCCGAGTGTGCGGCGAGAGGCGGCGAAAAGGAAGCGAGTCATTTGCTGACGAGTGCGGGAGTTGCGGCTGGGACGGCGGGAGGTATTGCGGGAGGGGCTCATGCGGGGGATGCCCACCAGGCATAATAGACATAGCAGAGTCATTGAGCGACGGTGCGTAGCCATTGTCACCTTGGTTGTCGCTCTCCATACCCAATCCGTCAAAGCCATACACTCCTCCATGCCCATCACTTTCAGTCGCACCACGCTCGGACCAACTTTGCAAGTTGTTGACATGAAGATAATGCTGACGACGAACGAGGTCCTCGTCGTCGATCACCACCTCCTGGCCACCGCCGCCTGTTCCACGAGCCGCAGCGAGGGCCCAGCCACGAGGACGAGAAGGTGGAGAAGGTGGAGGTGATCCAACACTTCCGTGTGTTGCATACTCTCCAGAGTGGGCAAAGGAAAGGCTTGGCTCACCGGCGGGTGAGGAAGGCTCACTCCACGCCACGCCCATGGTGGTGGTGTGTCAGTCGAAATCGGCGGAGGAACTCTCTCTGTGTTTCTCCTCACTGCGGACGGTGAAGTGTTTGCATATGGTTGCATTAATCGTAGTCATCATGCCAATTGGGGGCTCCCGCGTGCGCCTTTGACCACCTTTTTTGATGGGCAAACGGAACCATTATTCCTCCTTTTAGATGTTGATGCGGCAGAGGAAGGGGGGGAGGGTGGGGGGTGGGGGGGGAGGGAGGTATCCAATTGGCGGGATAGAAGGGAGTGAAGGGGATAGAGGGGGGTGGACGGGGTGGATGGGTGGTGGTAGGGGTGGTGGTCGGTGTAGGACGGTGGAAGGGGAGGGTGGCTGGCGCGTGGGAGGATGTACCCCGGTGGTGTCGGCGGCGGAATGGGTGGTGTACGTTTGCGCGTGAGCGCGCGCTTGGCTTGCAAGGCAGTGCAAAGGGCGGGGGGGGGGGGGGGTCAGAAAAAAATTTACGCGAGAGGGTGTGCGGGTGGGGGAGGAGGGGGTGGCTGGGCTGGCTGGGCTGGCTGGTAACGGATGCAGTTGGTGGCGGACGAACAGGCAGTGTCGGCAGCGGCAGACTTGACAATGCAGAGCGTTGGCAGGCGAGGTGGAGGCGGAGAACGAGGAGGGCGACGAGGTGTAGCAAGTGCGGCGAGTACGACGAGTACGGCAAGTGCAGGGGCAGTGCCTGGCGCTGGTCCGCGGCCGTCGGGTGCGCTCGAGTACCTCGAGCATCATGCGCTGCGGGCGGTGTTTGAGGCTATGACCATAGCGGTCATTGTCAATCGTCCCGACGATCCGCTCAGTTATCTCGCTGCCCATCTCCAGGCGCTGCCGTCGCCAATGAACCACGCTGAGCGGACACGCCTCGCTACCTCTCCGGAGTACTACATGGCCGCGCCCGAGCCTGCGTCTGAGCCGGTGTCAGCGCCTAGGCCGGGCCGCGAGCCGCCAGCTGCCCCGATGACCGAGGATGAGCCAGAGGCTGTGGTCGAGGCCGGTGGGGGTGAGACCAAGGCTCAAGCTGGAACGTTGGCCGATGATGCAGCTGAGGCGACAGTGCTGGCGGTGGATGTGTGGGCGGGAAAGCGTGCCGGTGGCGTTCGGTATATGGAGGACGACGCGCTGGCGCTAGCGTCTGTCTCGCCGCGATCGTATCCGTTTGACGGTCTGTTGGGGGTCTTTGACGGCCATTCGGGCGACAAGAAGGCCGGGCGGGCGGCGGCCGGGCTGGCCAAGGTGCTGGCCGCCGGCGAGTTTGTGCGGGCAGAACAGGCGGCGCTGCGGTCGCGCGATGTGGAACTCGATGTGGACAAGGTCTTTGTCAACATGTTCGACGCCATGCAGCGGATGATGGTGAAGCGGCTCAAGCGCAATGTTGAGTACGCTGGGACGACGGCAACAGTGGCAGTCATCCGTGATGACGGCGATCTGCTGGCGGCTAACGTGGGCGACTCGTCGGGCCTGCTCTGCACCTACTGGCTTGACGCTGGTGAGGAGCAGCTGGCGGCGGTGGCGACACCGCTGACAACAGACCATGTGGCCACAGACGAGGTCGAGCGCGAGCGAGTGGTTGCTGCTGGTGGCTTTATCACCGACGATGCCAAGTTTGGCCGCAGGGTCAACGGCCTGCAGGTGACGCGGTCGTTGGGCGACGTCGGCTCGCCGGGCACGGTGGCCACGCCGTCGACAACACGGATTCCGCTCGGCAAGGGCAATGTACTCGGAGTGGACGTCCCGCCGAACGCCGTCTCGCTCGTCCAGTACGTGGTCCTGGCCTCGGACGGGGTCTGGGGTGGCATCTCGGTCCAGGCGCTCCTCGATGAGATCATTCAGCCCGAGATGCGCGCCGCGGCGGCCGGGGAGGCGATCCTGAATGCCGCCGAGGAGAGGGCAGATCCCAACGCGCTGGATAACTTGTCGGTGGCAGTCTATTGCCGAGTGACCAAGCCTGTGTAAAGTGAACCGAGTGTGGGTTACGGTGAGGGCGAGGCCGCTGGCGGGTCGAGATGGACCATGCCACCAGCGACAAGCTCGCGGACTCGTTCGACGTCCTCGACACGAGCCTTGAGCACGCCAAGCTCGTCCTCGGCCAGGTCGATGTCCATGGCAGCAACCTGTCCCGCGATAGCCTTTTCGCGATCCTGGAGCTCGCGTAGGCGGGCGAAAAGCTCTTCGTCGTCCTCTTCGTCGAGGTCTTCGCCGTCGGCGTCGATCCAGATCCCGTTCATCGTGCACCACGCGTCAGTGGCCGCGTCGACAAATTCGGTGGACCACGGGATGGCGAGACCCAGCTGCGAGGGGCGAAGGAAGAGGCCAGTGGCGGGCGGGGCGTCAAAGTAGCGGACGCCGTCGAGCGAGCCGTCGTTCTTGCCGGTGCCAACGGCGTCAACCTCGATGCCGACCCAGGTGCCGGCGGCAAACTGGGTGGCGCCGACGTAGCGAACCACGCCCATAGTGTGGGTGTGGAGGCGCCAGACCCGATCACCTCGGCGGAAGGCATGTGGCGACTTGATGATGTGCAGGAGGTCTGGGCGGACAAAGACGCCGTGGCCCGGGGCGCAGGCAAAGAACTGGATGCCCATGCAAAACCCGTTGGTCCCGACCTCGCCGTAGTGGCGCGGGCCGGCGATGCCAACAAACTCACCAGCACCCGGGAACGGGAGCGAGCCGACGTACTTGACAGCCGCGAGGGTGTCTTCAAACTTGACTGGAAGATCGGCGAGGGCCTTGGTGCGGGCAGCGAGGACCTTGGCGGCCTTGGCAGCACGGCGGTCGCGACGGGCTCGGGCTCGGGCCTCCTGCTCCTCCAGCAGCATGCGCTCGCGGCGAAGATGCATCTGGAACGCCTGCCGCTCGGCGCGGAGTTTGCGTGCTTCGGCAAGAGCCTTGCGCTTGAGCTGGGCCGACTCTGCAGCGCGACGGTGTCGCTCCTGCTCGCGGACAGCAAGCTTTTCCTCGATCTCGCGCTGTTGCGCGGCCATGGCGGCGCGGGCGGCGGCAATCTGCTCCTGACGCTTGGCATCCTTAAGGGCTTGGATGGCAGCGAGGCGCTGCTCTTCGGCGAGGGCAATGGCGCGGGCACGCTGGGCGCGAGCCTGGTCGAGAGCGTGAGTGACGTTCTCAAGCGCCGACGACCATGCGGCAAGAGATGCGGCGGCGAGGGCGGCCTTGGCTTCGTCGTGGACGTCAGCGGAAAAGGTGTCAATCGCAGCGGTAGCAGCAGCGCGAGCAGGGCGAAGCGCGGCCTTGGCCTTCCGAAGCATGGTCTTTTCGGCGTCGTGAAGGGCCGAGGCGACAAAGTCGTCGAGGAGAGCAAGCTCCGAGGCTGTAGCTGAGGCGTAGCGGGCGGCGTCGGCGGCGAGTGGATCAAAGACCCGGGCGCGAAAGGCAGCCTCCTTGCGAGCGGCAGCAGCGGCCTCCTCGGCCGCGAGCTGGGCCTCGGCCTCATCGGGCGAGGCTCCGGCGGCGATGAGCGCGCGCTTGCGCTCGTTTCGGCGCGCAAGGGCGGCAGCGGCAGCGCGGAGATCAGGAAGGCGGGCAAGGGCTCGATACGTGTCAGCGAGGGCGCGGAGATGGGCAGCGGCGACCCGCTTGCGCTCGGCGAGAGCGCGCAGGGCCGCAGTGCGGACAGTATTGAGCGCCTGCCACAACTTGTCCTTGAGGAGAATCTTAGAGTGGCCGATGGCGTACATCTCAGATGGGTCCAACAGGCGGGTGCGCGGACGAGCCTGAGCTGGGTCGTCGGAGACGTCGTCTGCCTCGGGAGGCGGGAGCGGCGCAATGCGATCAAGGACATCGAGATCAAGGGCCGCAGCAATGAGATGATTGAGGAGAAGCGAGAGAGTCTCATCAATGGATGAGGGTGAGGGGCTGGCGGCAGCGGCCTTCAGCTGCGGCGGGCGTCGGTGAGAGCATCGGCAAAGTGTGCGATAAAGTCGGACTTGCGGCGCTCAACAGGAAAGCCGGCAAGGCGCATCTCGATGATGGCGTACATGCCGGCGGAGACAAGCTGGTCAAGGACCTTCCAATCTTCAAAGAACCCGCCCTTGCGCATGACGCAGTTGGGCTTGACGCAACGAACAAAAAGGGCCTGGGTCGAGGCGAGGGCAGACGAGAGCGAGCGAAGCGAGGCAGAGAACTTGGAGGCGACGGTGCGGCGAGAGGCGCGGGCGCGGGAAGACTGTGCAGCGGCGTCGCTGTCCCGGGTGGAAGCATGAGCGGCGAGGCCAGCGACGAGCGGCGAGGTGGAGGTGGCGAGGAGATCAGAGCAGTCTTGGGAGAGGGCATCCATGTTCTTTTGGACTGCGCCGATGGAGGTGTACCAGACAAGGCCGGCGTAGTGGTGGATGAAAAAGTCTGTCTCGTGCTTGTGGTGGCGCATGTCGGGCTTGAGATGCCAGCCGAAGAAGTCAGCCTTGTCGCGCTTCCAGTCTGCGGGTGCCAGCGGGCCTGTCTTACGCTTGCCATACTTGCGAACAATGTCTGCGAGCCACTTTGCGTCTGCGGCACGGGGATTTGCCTGCATGTCGCGGGAGACGGAGGCCATTTTGGTGACAGAGTCGAGGAGCGAGAGCAGCGAGGCCTTGGGGCCCATGATAAGGTCGATGCACCCGGCGTTGTCGCGATAGACAACCGAGTCGACGGTCACGCCCTCTACGGCGTACTTTGCGGCTTGAGCGGGGATGAGCGACTCGAAAAAGTAGTGCTGGAGAACCTCGTTGGTGAGGTTGATGCAGAGCTGCTCAAACTTGTTGGCAGTCTCGACAGAGCCGTCGGGTAGCGATTCCTGAAACGACTCAAAGCCAAAGATGTCGAGGACACCGATCCATGTGGCAGCGCCGGCGCCGGCAAGCACGCCGTTGATGTGCTTCTCGACAAGGCCCTCGAAGAAGAGGCCGTAGACGGCCTTGGCCAGTGCATCGGTGGTGTCAGAGGCCTGGACTGGCGTCAGGTTCTTGGCGACGTTGTCGCCGATGCGGACAGTGGTGAGCGCAAGCTCGAGCGCGTCTGGGCCGCCAGGAATGCCGAGCAGTTCTGCAGCCTTGACGAGCGGGGCCGGATCGACGACAGTCACGCGGGCAGTGTCGTCCTCGGGGTTGGGGCAAAGGTGATTTGGCCGAGGTGAAGGACGGCTGCGATGACACCGAGCATGGCGTCGACAAAGTTGTCGCCAAAGCCGAGGGTGGCGAGGTGGGCAAGGAAGCTCTCGTAGCGACCAGCATCGTCAAGGGGTTCGCCAGCCTTGTCAAAGCCGTAAGAGGCTGCATTAGCGCCATCGGGCCCGATGAGATAGCGGTAGTCCGTGACAGTGGTGAGGCCAAGGGCAGCAAGGCGGGGCGGCGGGAGGGCGGCAAAGATCATGTAGAAGATGTGGTAGTTGCGTTCGCCAGGCTCCTGGGCAACGATGCGCGACTTTTCGAGGAGGTACTGCTCAATGGCGGCGCCAACAATGGCGCCCGAGGTGGAGAATTGGATCTGGACAAACTTGCCAAACCGCGACGAGTTGTCATTGCGCGAGGTCTTGGCATTGCCAAAAGCTTCCAACACCTCTGAAGTGGCGAGGATCTTATCGTTGATGGAGGGAGATGAAAGTGATGAAGAAGAGGCACTGGCAGTGGCGACGGCAGCGAGGTAGTGGAGGACATGCTTGGTCGACTCGGACTTGCCTGCGCCTGACTCGCCTGAGACGACGATGGACTGGTTGGTGGCCGAGTCGAGCATGCGGGCGTAGGCCTCTGCACCGACAGCAAAGATGTGTGGGCTGAGCGGCGGGTCATGGGCGAGGCGCGAGCCCTTGTACATCTCGACATGCTGCGGCGAAATGAGGCCCTTGTCCTCGAGCGGGTTGATCACCACGAGCACGTCGCCGACATAAGTGTAGTACTCCATAGGCGAGGCCTTGTATCGCAGGCGGAGGTTGTGCATGAGCTCACCAACAGCAAGATCAGCCAAGTCGACCATGTTCTCCCGACCTTGAACATTCGATTCATCCATATGTTGCACATACGCCGCATCGCCTGGGCGAATGACGACCTTTTGCGGAAGCACGGGCATCGCCGGCGCGCATGTCGGGCAAAGGTCACCCCATTGCGGAGCAAGTGTGAGCGAGCTCTCGTCAGAAGCAAGGACAATACCAGCTACTTTGGGTGGTGAAGGCGTAGGTGTAGGTGTGGGCGAGGGGTATGGGTAGTTGCACAGCCAGACTGCCGTCTTGGGAGGGTAGTCAGGGAAGGCCATGGACGGCGGGGCCCGAGGCAGAGGTTGGCGCCAAGTGGTGGCTAGTGAACGCGCAAAGGACGAACAACTTGAAACACGGAGGGAGTGGGGAGGAGGGGGGGGGCGGATGATCATGATCATGATTGGGGCGGGGGTGGGTGGGTGATCGGGAGGTTAGGGGAAGGGGGAAGGGGTACGGTTGGGGCAAAGGGGTGGGAGGGGAGCCCTGGTCTCGGCTCTGGCGGTGGCTTGATCGGCGGGGGGGCGGGGGGGGGG